TCTACCGTCTTGTGCAAGCTCTTGGTGACGCCGAGAGAATCCGACCCTGAAGTCTAGCCCTCTGGACTTCGTTATTAATTTGTGCGTTCTCGTGACCCCGCGCGACCGTCACACCGTTGTAGCAAATGAGTCAAGCATATCTTGCAGCCGCATGTTTCAAAGTGATGCAGCACTGTTGTGTGGATACCAAAACAACACCGAATCGTCCAGAGTGCGATACTGCGTCGAACTGTGAATCGTGGAAACAAGTGGTGATCGGCTGGAGGAGGTTTTGCCCCTTCCACCATCAATCGTCGACGAAATCAAACGACATGTCAACGGTCGGCATCGTGGATGGCTGCTCCAGCAACAGGGTGCGATGTACCTGATAGGGTTGTTTGAGCGTTCACACATTGGTGATCACTCGGCTCGACAGGCTAGCGATTCAGAGAAGGTGAAAAATTGCAGAGATGGCGATAGCAATGGAAGGGCAGACAACATGACTCGAATAATTCATCTGATCCAGTCAAACCAACTCGACCCAGCCACTGGAATCAAGCAGTCGTGACGGAATTCATGGACGTTGTTTCACTTCACTGCATGCATTGCGTGCGACGGAAGCTCCATAAACTTCAATGGTGCAGACCGGCTACGATGTAGGACGAAATTAAATACGAGTGAGTGGTTGAGGGCCAAACTAATCGCCCAATTTCGCCAGCGCGTCGAGCATTTCGACAACGTCGTCGTACTCGGCACATAACTGCTCGACTTGGGCGGGTGTGAACTTGTTGCTCGTGTTGGTAAATACGTCGTCCACGGCTTTGCGCTGCTTGAGGTCGAGTGTCGTGGCAAAGTAATGCTCCACCATGCGACGGAAGCTCCATAAACTTGCCCCGTTCGGACAGCGGGGGGAATGAGTACCTGATGGACTACCTGTGTGGCCGTGGGCTATGCTCGTGAGCAGATGTCGATTGATCCGATTCTGACTTGGATATCCTGTGCATATGGACGCTTTGACGACCGACCGAGGCGAAACCAACGTTTCACATCAATGATCTTTACCCTTTAAGCGTTGACGCCTCGCTTACACATCGGTTGACGCTGGTCTATGCAGTCCGGCTTCATGCTGAGCAGTTTGGCAGTGGTTATCAGCTCGATTTATTGTCCGATCACAGCAACCAGACCTGCTGTACCCATATATCCTGTGACTACTGTGGGACGCCTCGGCAGGAGTCGTCGTTATGATCGAGCGGTAAAGAGAGTCCACTGTGCTGAAGTCGTTGCACGAATGGCCAAACACCATGACGTTTCAGTCTCATGCCGTGATAGTCGTTTTGCCAAGAGCACGTGACCCAAGTTAGGCTCGTTTCGTTCTGATGCCTTCGTTGCGGATGGGCGAACAAACTGCAGTGGTATATCTGCATCTCCCGCAAGTCTGCGCTGACCCACCGTTCTCGTTCCCCAAATCCGCATCTTGTGTACTAGAAATGGTTCAACACGAAAGTTCTCGTGGCAAGATGGCACGCCAAGTGACCTGACAACTCAATCGCACATGCAACTACCATAAAGCTAGAATGAATGGCACAGACTTGTCGTGGAGGGACCATGAGGAATCGGGGCGGGAGGGGATATCCCGCTTTTCAATGCTTGGGCCGGTTGAACGGGTACCAAGGTAGATTGCCGCACTCCGGGGGCCTTGCAAATTGACTGGCATGTCGACCGACAACCCTCGACTCGGTGTCCAGCATGGATGGCGCAAGTCTTCAATGACAGCTCCCGATTGGAGTCTCGGTGGCGCCGCAACTCCTTGGGCGAATTCTTGTGGAAACCCATGATGAAAGTTGATCGCAGGCGAGGCATAGCCCCCAATATTTCAATGTTGTCTGCGCCAGCAATGTCGTAATTGATGCCAACACCTACAGCGACGGTACCAGGTCGCTCGTTGCGTGGGCAGATGCCGTGACAACGTAGTCACTGTTACATGCACTCACATTCCCCATCAATTGCGAGGAAAGCACCTCATTTGACGCCATTCCGCCGTTCACAAGGCGCCAACACAGCCTGCATCGCTTCGTGAATCCACGGCGGCGAGACAACACATCTTGGTGCGTTGTGGCTTATTAGTCGGACGCAAAGGTCTATCCCAAAAATGCTCGAAGCTAACTCTGACTTTTGCGTCGCCGGGACGCGCTTTTCGCGGTGAATAAATAGCACCACCATATACGAGTGGACACGAAATGGCCAGCGTCTGCCACGGACGGGCATCACACGACGACGGCGACCTTGTCGCGGAACTCGTCCGCGTACTCTTCGTCATGGCGGGTCTCGTTCGAGTACATGTCGAGCATGGTGAGGTTGGAGATACGAGTTCGCATGCTTTCGAAGCACGTGTCCTCGTTCAAGTCTTGCAGCTGCTCCGTGTGCCGCCGAGTCCCACCTCCCGTCATGAGCGCCGCACTGGACAACCATGTTGACCCGTCGTCGCTTTCGCGGTACACAAACCGCGGCACGTGTGGGTCTGCAGGGCGGGACGGACGAAAGTCGCCAAGGGACGTCATGGACGACGTGGACGTTGTCGACGACAGGTAAATGTTGTGGTGATTCAGGTGGTTCGCTGTCACCGTGCTTGCGATACTTGCCAGGCTTCGCATACTGATCGGTACGACGCTCTGGCTGCTCGTGCTGCTTCGAAAATTGCTTTGTTTGGACAAAAAGTAGTATGGATTTGGTGACAGCGTGGTGCTGGGGTGCGGGTCGGTCGAGTTGTCTTTGTCTTGGCTCAACTGGTGCGCTGATATCGAGCGCTGGTGCAACGACGACTCCGTGGCGGCCATGGGGAGCTGCCGCATCTTGACCGCAAACACGATGCCGAGAAAGATGCATCCCAGCCAGATAGACACGCCAAGATAAAACTTGTTTGTAGAGGTCCACAGGTCCGACGACGTTGCAAAGGTTGCTGGCCGAAGCGTTGCGCCAGCGGTCGAGCTGGACGTGGACGCTTCGTTGCCAACGACGCTGCTCGAGTTGGAGTTCATGCAATCAGAGAGCAGTAAGGTCACGTTGGCGCAAAATGGCGACGCCAAATCATCGGTTGCCACAGCCGTGTCCGTAACCAAACTTAATGCGATGGCAATGAGCACCGCCAAGCTATCAGGATCCATGCTCGACGACTCGGTGTGCCTGCCGGCGAGGGGTAGCCAGTTCAAGTAAGGGAAAGGCGGCCGAAATTGCCTTTTGTCGTTCACGTTGGTAATGACCATGGCGCATCCAAAGGAAATGGCGGTTGCAAAGGGGCTCTTGCTGTCGTGTGGCTGCAGCTCGATCAAGTGATATCGAGCTATCGAGTTAGATGGGCAGGAGACCATTCCATGGTTGGCCCTCTTGCGGTGCCGGTGGCACACTTGATTCGGAGCCCGTTCACGACGGAGGTGGCAGCTCCACGCTTCGTGTACTTTGCCAAGGATGTGCCAATTCAGTCTTCAGCTGTTTTTTATTGCATTTTTCTCATTGGCCAGTCGATTTTTTGATCGGCATATGCAATCGAGGATAGTTGGTTGTGCCGTGGACTCAGCGCGACGATGGTAAACATACAGATACTAGTAACGAACGCGGAGGGGAAGGAGCCAAGAGACTAACGACTCGCCACCGCAAGTTCGATCTGTGTTAACGTGAGCACTCGTTTGGGCGACAGGAATATATTCCAACAAAAACAATTCTGCATCTTCCATTTGATTGGTTACACATTTGCTCATATTTAGTTGCTGTTAAATTTGCCCAATAAGTTCTGTTTAGCCAATCATAGTTGAGTTCACAATGGGTCCGACTGGCAAATATATTGAAGAATATTTCACCTTTTGAGAAGTAATTGGGGTTGCGATCTAAATTCACCAATATTCAATTTTGATATGAATTTGAAAACTTGGCCAGACAGCTGAAAATTACAATATTGAATGCTTGGTGTTCATACGAAGATCAAGAGAATAAATTCAATCACAAAGAAGTGAATACATGTAGAACTCTTGCATTAAACTGCACTACAAATTATAGAAAAACTCCGAACAAAGAAGGAAACACGCATTGACAGAGCCCGCAACAGTCGACCTCAAGGAGGGCGAAGCGTGTTCGTAACGTGCAAAAATCAATTCCACGTTGTGTTTGAGTATTGGAATATGTACTGTACTGTAAACTCTCTAATTGTAGACCCTCTCTCCAATAAACGACCCCTTTATATAAATACCTCTGAAAATCAATACATTTTTAAAAAGCATAGCCAAACAAGTATATAATATATCACAGTCAAAGTGAAACATTGATTTTAATCTTGGTCGATCATGACAAGATCATCAAACTCTTCAAGCAAATCGTCGATGTCTGGCTCTTTGGACTCTTCTGCATCATCCGACATCAGTCCTTCGAGTTCAATGCGGAAATTCTCTCCCATCGTCGGGTGTTTAAAAAGGAGCGCTCGTCATTTGTACCAAGGAAACACATCACAAAACTCTTCGTGCCAATGTCACTTGAAATCGCCTTCCATGAGTGAATCAGCCACTTTGTAACAACATCATTTGATGGTGGTCTTGGCCGCCCACCTCTTGTGCAGTCAAAATCACCACTCGATTTCCACTCGTCAATATTTTCGGCCATTTTGTCTTTCAATGGCTTAAGCCAGCTGACGTCAGCCGGTTGCGAATACGCCGTAGTGCCGCCAGGTATGACTGCATACAAAAATCCCTTTCGCTGAAGAAACGCCTTCACTTCTTTGCTCACCTGAGATCTTGCAGCATCAAACACGAGAAGAATTTCGCCAGGATTGACAAAGCCGAACGTGTATTCGAGGTAGCGGATGAATATGGACGAGTTCATCCCCGACTATGGGGAACCACAAACAGACACCAAGCCTTCATCGCGAATCCGCAATTCTTTCTCCTTGACCATGAGCAAGGGCTCCAACTTAACTTTCGACCTGTTGCGCTCACGCAAAATACCGACCTGACATGCATTTTGTCAAAACCCATGGATACAATCGGTACATCGCGCGAACTCACCAAATCGACGGTTGTTTGACGGGAGTGATCGAAAAAGTTGGCTGTCTCGTCAAGGTTGTAAATGTTGTCGGGTATTATCTTGTAAGTTTCGATCAATTGGTGCACATGTCGAACAAAATCGGCGCAGCGTGAGACGATTTCGTGGTCTTCGAGCACTGGTTTCTTGTGCTACGCCTCAACGTGAGGTCGTAGCGATCCATGAATTTTTCAAGCCACCCGTCGGAAAATGTCAAGGAGATAGTTTCGTCCAATTCGTCGGCGATGTCTTTTACCCAGTACTTTATGAGCTTCCTGGTAACTCGGGCTCGTAACGATCGTTCGAATATAACCTTCTCGAAGAGGATTTCATCGAGCTCTTCACTTCTCACTCGTCTGCCACCTCCAGTCAATCGGCATCGCGACGGCTTTGAGCAAGCAAGTTCGTGTTCTTGCTTCATATATTGTCGAATGTTGCTTGGTAGCAACTTGTACTTCTTTGCAACGGAACGTATTGATGAAAGCTTGGCCTCTTCGATGATCTTGAGCTTCGTCGGACACCTTCTTCATTTGGATGGCACCTTTTATCGAATATATCCTTGTATTATTATATATCCGACATATAAAGATATAGAGGAATCTAATAGTGGACTGCCCTTGAGGGGTGTATTATTACAATAGACCCGGGTATACAGTTGAAGAGTTTACAGTACAGTAGTCCCCCAAGGTTTGCGAACTGGTATAAATTAATACCTTGCTCAACTTAATCAATAACTGCATCCAATGGTCTCTTAAAATGAATTCTTGTTTGTTCTTTGTTTCTTTAATTGCCTTCAGAAACGTATATTCTTGAAGTGTTGCAAAACTTGGGGGATCACTGTAGTTACATTTGTAGTGTTTATTTAAATACCCTACCATTTGTATGCAGTGGTATAGTAATATATTTGTCCTGATTCTGATTCTCGTGTGTCGTATTTATTGCAGTATTTTTCGGGTTGGAGGTCGTAGTCGAAGTGAGAATGACACCCAACTTTTTTCAACTCACACTTGACATATTCGATTAATTTTAGTAATGCCCGAGAAAACGAGCAAAATGCCGTCTTCTTATTGCTTGATACAAGACGGACCCGAAAAATGTACCTGTCGACGAATTGAAGATTTTCCAGTTCCAGAATTAAACGAAAATGGAAATTGCTGCTTGGTTTGACCAGCTCAACATGCTCGAATCCAATTTAGCGACATACGCAGGACAGCATGCTTCTCGAGGTGACGGAGGAGGGCTGCATCCACGATTGAGGACGCATCCACATACAGTTGCACTACAAGTTGGTCGCGTATAGTGTGGTAGGTCGATGACGGATGCAGGCGCAAGGCCAACGACCGGCGCATCTTTTGGGACTCCGTTGGCTCACTGGTACACCGCCCAGGCATGTCCATTTCCACGGGAACGATCCATGGGTTGGAAAGATGTGTGTGGAATCCAATTTGGGTAATCTAGCTCTTTGACACGACAAAGAGAGCGACCAGCGAGAGTTATCCATGCAGGTTGAAGGCGGCCATCCGTGCCCAGACTTGAATGATACGAAGATATGTCCGCGTTGCCCCCCTGGTCGGTTGAGCTGGTCGCATCCATTGTCGACACGACAGGTGCCCGCCACCCCGTTAGCGAACAGCCTGCTGGTAGTCTGTGGTACATGAACCCGGTTCCATGGTTGTGGTGCCCGCAACGCAAAGCTGATTCCTCTTCCACGCCTAATCACCCATATCGCATTGGAATGGAATGCCACCGATGTTCCAGCTACGTTTTGAATGTACAGCCCCGAATCCACTTGACCCAACCAAAAGAGGTCGCAGGCTATCTAGGTAATTCAGTTCCCTTACACGATCCTAACCAGATTTGGCTCTGGTCGAGCAAACCTTGTGCGCCGCATTCGATCCACTTCTCCTGGAGTGCACCCCCCCTTTACTCCTCTCGTCGCCTTCCTCTTTGACTATCTCGTTCGACTCGCGCATTTTTCATTTTCCTCGATGAAGTCCATTGTCGCCCTTGTTTCGACGGTCTTTGCGACCGCGGCCGCCGCCAACGCCAACGAAACCGCTTCCCTCTTGCGCGGCCCAGATAACGTACTCCGCACGGTGGACCAAATCCAAGCCATCCAAGACGACGCCGACGTGAACCGCAAGTGTCACACCGCCAACAGCGACTACATCGCGTCATTGAAGCCTGGGTCGTACGCCACCAGTATGTTCCACAACTGCTTCCGCACGACCGGGCAGATCTTTGAGTTTGTCGACAAGTTGACCGCCCAAAACCCAATGCTCTTGACAAGAGAAGCAATCGCGACCACCGTCAAGGGCAAGACGATCTACGCATACAAGCTGACGAACGGTAACCCGAAGCCCAAGTCATTGTACTACCAGAGTCTCCTCCACGCTCGCGAGTGGATCAGCGGTTCTTCCAACGTGTTTACGTTGGCGTCGATCCTCGACGACGTGTACAACAAGAAGCCGACCGCGCTCGACACATACAATTTGTATTTTGTCCCGGTTGCCAACATCGACGGGTACGACATCACGTGGAGCGGGAACCGCAACCAGCGTAAGAACGCCAACCAAGTCGACTTGAACCGCAACTGGCCGTCGTTCTACAAAAACCCCAGACCGCCTGCTCCGTCGGCCGAAGACTACCCGGGTCCGTTCCCGTTCAGCGAGCCCGAAACCAAGGGCATTGGCAGCTGGTTGAAGGCCAAGAACACCGAAATCGCCGGGTGGGTCGACATTCATTCGTACGGGGGGCTGATCATGTACCCCTACGGCGACACGTTGTCGCCGATTGGAGGTGGCGAAGACGAAAAGTTCCAACGCCTCGGCCGCAGCATCGCGAGTGTCGCTGGCGGCAACTACAAGGCGCAGACTTCGGCGAGGCTGTACCCTGCCTACGGCTGCTTTGACGATTACCATTATCGCACGTTCAAGAAGCCCGTGCTGACCATCGAAGTGTACGGGACGGACTTTGTCGCGGCGACGTCGACGATTCGTACCCGCGGCAGTGAGATGTACCGCGCGTTGACTCAATTTGCCAAGGAAGTAGTTGTCTACAACGGCGGCATCCAGAAGACCACAGTCGACGACCCTGTCGGAGCCGTCAATGTGCCGTATTTGGCTGGGGCGTCCGACAATTCTGCCATCCAAGTGCCTTACCAGGTTGGCGACGTCGTCATCAACTAACTCTTTGTTACCGTCACGTAAACTCAATGGAATTTTAATGTGCATTCGTCGTTCGCGGACGGCTGATCGGAATGCCCCCTCCATCCATGTTGTTGCACATGGCGGGTGCGTATTCCTGCAATGTTTGCAATGCAGTGAACCCTGGAAAAAGGTGACCACCTGTATATTAAAAACATCATCTATTAAACTTTCTTTACGACCTGTATAATTCAATACCACATAAGAAATGTCATTCTTTTGTCCAATTGCAAGTGTAGATACAAAATCAAATGTGAGTGACTGACAAAAATTCTCATTACAGGCGACGACAGAATTTAAGGGACACTTTTTACTTCGAATCGCCATGATTCTGGAAGTTAATTGGACATAGTTCTCAAAAACGGAACGAAGGTAATATGACCATACCCGTTCATCCATCCAAGCTTTGTCTTGGACCGCGTAAAAATGACCGATTGGATACGAGTCGAACTCACTTGCTTCAATTTGACCTCCAGGGGTTCCGCGGATGATAAACAGGATTGGCATCTCCTCGCCACTTGCACGAACAGAGAGGACTGCTGTCATTCGATATGCATACTTCTCGCCACTTGATATCTTCGAAGGTCTTCGAACTACCGCCCTTGACGACCCAAATAGCATGTGGTGGCATGTCGTAGTGCACGCCGGTTTCATCAACATTGATAATACAGTCGGGGGCAAAACCGTCAAAGGCTGTGTTGAAATCTGCCGCGAATGCCGCTCGTAGCGCTTGTAGGTCCTCTTGCTTGAGTTTGATTTTGTCGGCTTTTGACGTGTAAAGCCGTTGCGGGCACAAAGACGCTGCAGGAGGCGAAGCATAGACTTGTAGCCCGATCCTGACTGCTGTAGATAGTTAGCAAGCCAGTCGCGATGGTAGCGCTTCAAGTGGTTCACCAAGTGGGTAGACGTTACTGCACGTTCGGCTTCACGGCGCTTCAGTATGAAAGCTTCGAGCTCCTTCGTGTCCGGAATCTCCTCTGGTCGACCCGCGCCATCGAGGTGGAAACGCTTCTTCGTGCCCACGAAGGACAAAATCTGGTCCTTTTGTTGAAACCAATGCGAAAGATTGCTCTTCGGAATTCCGGTGCTTGCTTCAAGCTCGCGGACTGATGCGGTCTGTATGGCAGCTATCATTTGCTGCTTTATGGCATGGCAGTATTGCCGCCGTGGCCTCTGATGTTGGCTGATCTTGTCGCGTAGCTCAAGCGCCATTCGAAAGTGATTAGCATGTGTGAAAGGGCTCAGTATGGCGCGAATTTTAAATGTTTTCCCGCCAAGTTTTTATTTTGGCCAATGATTTGTTTTGTTTTGACTTCATGTGATTTGATTGGCTCAAATTTTATCATCACGTATGAAAACTTCGGTGTCGCTTAAATTCTGTCGTCGTCTGTAATAGAGTGATTTCGCAAATGGAATCCACACAATTTTCCCTGCAAGAATTTACAAAAAGTCTCAGAGGAATATTTTTGTGGCGTGTTGATTTTGCCACAGGGAAATTTGGTTGTCACTGTTTGAGAATGAGTGAGGAGGTAGCCCTCCTGTTGCCACTACCGGCTGCTCTCTTTGTGCACCTAGCCCAGACAACTCGTGCCATAAGCATCCCTTCCTGCCGGTTTGACTTCGCTTCACAGACAGTAGCCGACTGTGTGTTCAAGTTCCGGTTCGGGAAGAGCGAAATACCCGACCTTGTCAATCTGCACTGCATCTTGTACGCTGTGTCCATCTACAACTTTGACTCAATCATGATACATTCACATGGAGCAATCATATTCGACAGGTCTTGGATGAGCTGTTCATTTTCATTGTATTCTTCCTCAGTACAAGACGCGCGCAAGGACTTCACTGTGTCCTTCTTGAATGCTGCCATCAAATCATCCAGGCGCTTACGACATCCTGCAGTAGTAAGGTCGGGGCCATGCATTTCGCGCATGTGGTCAACAACTTCTTCCCATCGTGCAAGGGTTTGCCCATAAGGAGCATCATGTGGGCATACAGCCATGACCTCCACGGGGAAAGTTCACAGGAAGTATCTTGTAGCAAAATCAAGCCAAAATAGCCAATCAAGTTGGACAAAGGCGCGTAATTTAAAGAAATTGATTCTATTTTGCCTTCATGTACAGAGCTCTCTCAACGGTTGCTCCCTCAACAAAAAAATTGTAAAAGGAAAACAAAAGGACAAGATAACACGATAATTGATTGAATGATTCTCATGAACTTTGTGCAATAAAATTTATCTAAAATACCTTCTTCTTGACGATGAATTCGGCAAAGTTTTGAGCCTGATTGGGTGTTTCGAATGTTAATAGCCACCCAGTTATCAAAAATTGAATACCCACAATAGTACAGGGAACGACAGAAATCCTTCCCCCGTGGTACTCGACCAAACTTTTGGAATATTAATATTATGGACATCCAAAAATTAGTCTCATGAATTTAAGAATATTTTTGGCCAATGGATGACAATGTTATTCACGTCCAAGCACATGATATGATACAACTTGATCTTGCAGTCGTCAAACAAAAACTAAACACATTGTTACTGATATTTATTTTGCTATAATCCTAGTGTTTTATGGTATTATCCTTAAATGATCAACCTAGCTGCACAAGAAGTCAAAGTAAGATTGCTTTTGGCTGAGCGGTTTAGGTGCCCGCTGTCATTCGTTTTGACCCCCATTAACTATTACCATTTCAATCTAATTCCAGCAACGTCTTGAACATCGCACCAGAGCGATTTTGGTTTCATCTTATTATCGCACCAAGAAGGTTACTTCGACATTATCATTAATGAAGTTAAAACAAGCATTCTACCTTCGTCGTTGTACGTGGGGCGTATTCGTTCACTCACAACAGATATGTCTGTTGCTTTGTTTTGAACAACAATGTACTGTACTTCAACAATGCGCAATATGGAATTGAAAACTGTAGACTGTTCACAAATGCACTTACACCCCTCTCGATTTCACGAAACTTGGTTTAAATCAGCGAAAACGCTGCCCTGTAGTTTTCGTCCAAATTGTATGACTGACTCAAGCAGAATCTGAATAAATTTGAGAAGTAATACATACATATATACAAAATAAAATAATATATACGAGACAATTAGACAGGTCGAGTCACTGTTTGGACGCGAGGCATCTGATGAGCAAGCTGATCTACCAGCAAGTTGCTCCGCGAAAACTCTGTGGTGTCCGCAGCCGAGAAGAGGCTGGTCATGATACCCCAATATATTGCTGATGGGAAAAAAATACCTTGTGGGGTGTTCAAACTCTCGTCCACGAAGGCTTTGACTCCGTGACGGTTTGGTTTACTGGAAGTATTAACTAGTTGTGAATGTACTAATTATACTTGTAACTTGGTCGCAACACCTTGGTTGCGAGCACTCATTGACGTCGAAATTCCAAAATTTTGACCAATAACATCGCAGTCCTCATCCGCTGAAAAAGTTGAATGTACAGTAGTCCCCCGCAAAAAATAGGGAACCTTTGTTGTCGATAGGGTTTAAGGGTTTTCAATTTACACAAGTACGGAATTAAACAGGATGGGTCGCTCGGTGTTGATAGGATAAGAATATACAGTGGGTGTCAAAGTTTTCATACGGTTCAGATTATGATCTTGTGGGTCGTATATCTTTTGATTGACTCGGTCGTTTTCACAATTCAAATATAAATTATATAAATTATCCTATATTTTCAAAATGGACAATCGTAAGCTGCGTCACCGCCATTGTAGATGTGCTATGAAGTTGCCTTGGCACATTCTGTGCAGTATTGTAGTAGATATGACGATTTGAAATTCATCATCATTAAAATAATGAGTCAAAAGTTTTCATACGATTCCACGAAGTCGACCATACAGTTTGTATTATTCAAAGATTAGTACTTGATGGCAATCACCATGCTCAATCGCTTGGGCATGCTAGAGATCAACGTTTGAATGTAGTCGGCGGGTACATTGTCCCAAGGTCCTGCACACGATCGCGCAACCCATCAAGCGAAGATGGAGGATTTGAACGAATCCACCGCTAAATATACTCGATGGAGTTCAGGTCAGGGCTTTGAGGGGGGTGGTCCATCTTTTAAATAGCATTTTCGTTGAAAAATGCGTTGATCTTATTGGCAGTGTGAATTGGCGCGTTGTCTTGTTGGAAGATAAAGTTTGTGGGCAGGTCCAACCGGACAAAATTTCGGTCAATTGCTCTTCTAGAAGGTCAAGATACACGGTGGATTTAACTTTTCCTTACAATGTCACCAATGAACCAGTGCCATTCCAGCCAATAGCTCCACACACCATAATACTTTGGCGGCCACTTTTGAACGAGGGCACAAGGCACTCGTCAAAACTCTTCCCCAGGTCGGCGTTGAACAAACCCACGCCCATTCGATCCTGTCAAGCTAAATGGACTCTCGTCAGTCCAAATAACTCATTTCCAGTCCTCAATTGTGAAAATTTTGTACTTCAAGACGTTCGCCTACCGCTTTTTTTCCTTTTTGAAAGAACAGCTTGTGACGAGCCGCACGCCCACGAAAGCCTTTTTCCTGAGTACGCCGGCGTATTGTAGCGTTTGAAACGTCTTTTTCGTGAAAGACTTGAAACGTTTCAAGCAATGAGTCGGCACTTATACGTTCATTTTGTCGAACCGAGCGGACAATAATTCGGTCCTCGTGTTCTGTGGTAACACTGGGCGACCAGAGCAGTCCAAATTCACGCTGAACCCATTTTTGCAGTTCAAGTCCTCTTATGCCAGGATTGGACTTGTGATACATCAATAGTGAGCTTTTGCTCGACGGTGAGTCTCACCCGTGTCGAGGGTGACGACATATGAGTACATCAAGCGGTTTTTCGCGACTTGTGTCATTTAAATTTTCAATCCGCCTCTATAAATTCATTTTTCAGTACTTCTTGGACAAGAATTAATTTTGCGAGGATATTAATTAGTTGTGGGTTCCCTATTGCGGGGGACTACTGTAATACAATTTCCAGCAATACCCAACGTCGAAATAATATTGCCTCATACAGTTTTCAAGATATTTCTCTAGTACCACGGGGGAAGGATTCCATGTAGGTTTTTCTGACAGAGATGAATTCCCACCAGTTTTGCCGTGCGATACCTCAACAACTAAAATGGCTGGAAAGTACCGCAAACTACCCAATCATAGCAGAGATCTTGCGCTTTCCCTCGCACCAATCAGACACCCTAACGGGGTACTGCAATTAGAAAAATGCCGCCAATCAAAAGTGGAACGTGACAAGTTTTGTGGAACAGAGTAGTATCACCATAAACCGAACGGCAGATCAAAAACATATTTTGTACAGACAATCCGAACTTACTGTTACATGTATACATTTTCAATGGAATTTTTCAAGATTCACATCCTCAGATGTGAATCTTGAAATGTCGAAAAGCTCCAAGGTCTTCGTTCACAAGACCCATTCAGCCCTAAGTTTGTCACAGTCGCCTGCGGCTTGGACAAGTAAATCAAATCGCCTTGCGCTTTTTCAGCAGCGCTGGCGGAATGTATTGGGACCACTTCGCGAAATGGGCGACGGCGCATATGTGGTCAAAATACATGCATATGTAAAACATTGTCGTGACAATCTCTCTCCATGGATTAGAAATCGCAATTGCAAAAGGAATTGAGGTATATTTTCAAATTTGACTTCAAACTTTTTATGTAGACTCCAGAGTCCAGGCGTTGCAAATCAATGATTTGACTTCCAAAGGTTCAAAGCCTTTCGCGAGATTTATACATTCCCTCAGGGTGGTAGAACAAACAGGTACTACCTGTATCCTGATGATATAAATGCACTAAAGGCTCAAGTTGAATATCGGAAATATATGCTCCAAACTTACAAAAATCAACAAAGGTTCTACAGTATGAAGTACAACACACAGCATGAATAACAGCATGAATAACAGCATGAATAACAGTGCGCGAGAGGGAGGAAAGAACATGGGAAAATTGAGGTTTTTCCGGAATATTTCAGTCGGAATTTAGCACATCGAGGTGCTCTTTAGGTGTTTTGTTGTGCACAAGGAGACGAAAACAGAGCAAATTCCAGAACCTTCAAACTCGTGGAAGTCAAGGAGGTATCGTCGAATATCAGTTTGCATGCTGCGACACAAAATACAAGATAAGTTAAATTCTAATACAACAACTCTCGTTTCTCGTAACTGTAGTTCTGATGAATGCCTCGCATACAAGACTAAGCATGTCGGGATGCTGCTGGGACCTACCTCGGCCCTCGTTCGGTTTCTTTACGATTGTTCATTTATTTTTAGGCCATATAACGATCGACCATGCCACCTTAACGTGACAAATCAATCCTCGGCGCAGTACCAAATGCCCGCACCATATTCACGAGAGAGCGCAATATTTAACTGATTGGTTGAAAACATATCCCCTGTCAACCTATTACTCTAAAACGAATTGGCGGGTAAAAAGCAATTTACTTGAGGCCAATCAAAGGTTTGAATTCCGATATTGACAAGTCCAATTTCATGCGTTGATTTCGAATTTGTACTGTGAAAACTTTGCCTCTGTATACCTAATAATCCGTTGAAATACAATATTTGGTGACTACTGTACTCTGATGGAAAATCTGATGGTGAATTCAATGCATTATGTTTTTCTACATAACTGTCCCGACTTTGAAATTTCATTCCGCTCATCAGAATTGTTGAATTCGATATACTGATCCCCACTTTGAAACAGAGGAAATTATACAATTTAGTCAGAGAATCAAATTTTGCAGGTACTGGTTACTGATTTCTCTCTGAGTTCTAAACGGACTAGAAATATAAATTTACACAAAATATTATTTTGTGTAAATTTATCGAGCGAATGAGAGGGTGCATTGTCGATAAAAGAAGATCTTGAGGTCCTCTTCGACCATTCGTTTGTTCGACGATGTCAGGTACGAATTGAAAATCGTGCCAGTCATCCATATGGTCGGATCCATCGGAATTTGTGGTAAGGGCGACGGTTATCCGCATTTTTACTTCTTCGACCCAGGAACGCGGTTTCTGGTGATCGAACGATACGGCGACATGCAGTAGAAGTATGCGGATTCATCCATGTTGTACACGATTTTTGCGTTGTAGGCGCCAGCGACGTTCAACATTGCTTTGCGGCCTTGACGCACAGTTTCTGTTTTCACCGACCCTGCTTCTCCGTGTTGGGTCTTGCACGCGAGACCATGCCTTTGCTGAAATTTGTAGAGCCAGCCTTTCGAAAACTTAATTGTTTGGGCCGACGGAATGTCAAGATCACGGCAATAGGCCTGGGCCTGGGCTTGCTTGCGAATTAGTTCGCCAGTAATACACACACCGAGCTCTAGGCCAAGTCATTGTACTTGGCAGTTGGACGCAATGCACGTTCCTTGCACAACGCGTGCTTGTCTGCCAGGGTCATGCGCTTCTTCATCTTTCCACGGGCCGACATGGCAATCAAAGTTCAAATATTTGAAAGGACCCCATAACTCTATAATATAGATTTATAAAAATTATCACATTTGAGCCGTTTAGAACTCAGAGGGAAATCACTACTTTAGTTGATTTGTCATGTGTGAATGGAAAAACCTTTCCAAAACGTGTACTGCCGGTATTAATTTAGAAAAGGTCCCTCCGACTTTGCGTTCCTTTGAAAGACAATTTCGAATAGGATATGAAAGGAAAATTGAGCGCCATAAGGCGGGAAAACTTGTCATGCGCATGAAAAACGCCACATTCGAAAAAGCATTCATGACGCAACCAGGCACCAAAACGCCCCCACCGAAACGCCACAGGTAGACCTTCAGTGAAAAACTGCAAGCGCACAGGTCCACCTCAGCATAAGCGGCTATACTTCACCTATACCAAGCAGCTTCACATCATCAACTGGCGTAAGCAGCACTCCATGGAGTCTGCGCTGGACACGTTCTTCTGCGGTGCTCAGGGCATCGCTCGGACGTCAGCCATGAAGCGAATCCTGCGGTGGGAAGCCAGCCGAATGCACATTACCAA